CGCCAATTACGATTTATTTGTCCGCTCTGAAGTATGGAGGTAAATAAAGCCCCTAACCCCGATCTACCTCTATCGGAAAATGCCGGGCATTAAATGCAACGATCTGTGGTCGTGTTCCACCTTATCGAGCACTCTTTTTTTTTGGTTTCGTGGTTGATTTTTCTGTGCATAAATTTGTTCGTTGCGCCTTTCGGGAAATACAGGGTCACACTTCGCTATCACAAACTGGCATTTTGTCACGTTTTTTTATGGTTCGTTTTCGGGTTTTCTGGTTCTCTTGCTTCCCTCCAGCATTTTTCCAGCGATTAAGTGTATCATGCATCCAAATATGCTCATTTAATGCGCACTTGGTCGCGGCCGTCTTGCTCATGCTCTTGGAATTGAAGTGGAATTCTGTTTTTTAGTAATTGCCGTACAGGAAATTAGTTATTCACATTGGGTTGCGCTTAATTTATGCATCGCTATAATTGTTTGTGCTGCTGGAAAATCGCTTTTCATTGTTCGTGTGCGAGACCAAACGGAAAGTTCTCGTTAATGTGGGCGTTATCGGAATCATTACGTAGAAGGAAAACAAGAAAACAAACATCTGCGAAGAGGGGGAGAAAACTCCATATTTGATATGTAACGAAAACGTGTGAGAAATTCCCAAAATCCAAGCGGGCTTTTTTTTATCAGAAGAAATATATGAATGGGCGGGGCCGGTGGGAAAAGTAAAGTGAAAGAAACTTTGATAAATGACTGATTGATCGGGAAGCGCTAACTAAGGAAAACTTCAAGTTTCCCGGGGCAGGCACTAAAACCATGTCAAACAAAATTATCGGCGGGACAAGTTAATGTCCTATAAAATATGAATAACGAAAGTTTACCGCTTCTCGGGAGCTAAATCAAAACAGAAATTAGCAACGAAAAATTTATTCAAAATGCTTTGGCCTGTCTCCCTCCCCCGAAAATGAAAAACCCAAAATGATTTATGACAAGGGGGGCGGGCGGCGAAAAAAAAAGGGGGAAAAACGAAACGAAAACCGAAACAAATAAAACGAGAACATTGAAAATCAACCAAAACGCAAAGCGCAGCAATTAAAAAATCCGTTGAACTTGCCGGCAGTCGTAAACCATAAACTGGGGAACAGACAGAAAACGACGAAAACTGAAAACCCATGCCAGAAAACCCAAGATCCAAGATCCAAAATCCATTGCCCTGGAGGCTTTGACAAGAGCAGAAAACAATTAAACTAAGATTTAATGGTTTTCACACATAATTCTGGCTGGCTTGTATAAAATAAAGGATTACCAGGGAACCCAAAAAACACTTCACTCCGATTTAGAGAACTCCAGACCACCCCTAACAAATCATTTATAAACATAATTGCTGGAGTCACTTCAGAATCGGGTTAAAGATAAAAGATAAATGTGGAAAATCTTAAAGAAAACAAAGACACCGCAGGCCAAATGTTTTTTCAATGGCAAAGCCCCATGATGGTAATTTTTTTGGCTTTTCCACAATGCCGCTTATACCATATAGGAAAATCTATAACTATGTTTTTAACACTTGCCATCGGGACCTCCTGTCGCGGCAGTGGGAAATAAAATCGGTCTTGTCTTTTGTCAATAAATATACGTTTATTTTCTTTACGCGCTGTGACTATAAATTAAATCACGAAAACCCAACGACCTGAACAACAATAACAAACAGAAATGCCGAGAGTTTTCTTGTAGGCCATTTATTGCTCTCAATAATGAAGCCATTACATTCCGTTGAGGGGGTGTTATTGCAGTCGACGCTTAAGTGCAAATGGCCATTAAAAACAATTTAAGGGGCGGATCACCATTCACAGCAAAAGCATTTAGAAATATTGCAAATTACTGCAAATAATTGACAAACATTAAGTGCCAAGAGCCCAGAGGAGGAAAACTCTGGCCGTGGAAAGGCAACAGCTGGCACAGAATTTACACAACATTCATTTGGAAAAATCAAATGTACTTGAACTCAAATTTCAGACTTGAAAATTGATGTTATTGTGATGACAAATCAACCTCAGAGTTGGAAAAGCTTTCTATCTAATGAAACTGCAATTCACACAGGAGTAAGAAGTGGGTTTTTCCCAGCTGCCGATGTCAGGGGGTTGCACTTGATTTATGTATTCTTTCCTTGAGACTCCCGAAAGTGCTTTCTCATCATCGATACCGATACAATGGGATATTTTATTAAATGCTGCAACCGAATTCAATTTCCGCAACTGTTGCCAAAATATCAGCTTAGCTAAGTGGAAGGTCGATTGAGGTCGGGTTGAGGGTGGGGCAGTGATTTGTGCAGGGCGGAAAATTTGAACATTTGTTAAAGCGACTTATTAATAGTATAATCTAATTGTGATTTCCTCCTCGCTCTGCCTTTGATATCCATTCATAAAAAATAATTTCTGCACCAGGGTAGAATATGCGGGTAGCATTTTTTCCTGTCCCTGAGTAAAATACATCCAAATATGGGATTAATAGTAAGCTGCTATGTGAGTCACAAAAAAAGGGATTTTAGTTTTTATACTTCTATGATTTATTAAGGTGGCCCATCAGGTATTAACTGCAGCTGGCCAAAAACTCCCCAAAACTCCAAAAAAAAAGAAAACTAACCAAAAAGAAGTTTCAATTATATTGAAATCCAACCTGATTTTGGTATAAACCACAAAACTCTTGACAACAGGGCCGTCTCCTGTCCACAAATAGAAGTTTCCTTCATCCTTCCGAAGCGCTAATTAAGTAAACAAAAGGGGAAAACCTCTGAAGCCAAACCGGAGCAGCTCAATTAATAATAAAATGCGAAAATGGGAAAATGGGAGCAAGCCAAGCGCAGCTCGTAAACAAGCCACAAAAAAACTTGAACTCATAATTTCCGGAGGTGCTAATAAGTTGCAAAATTATTTTCAATGAAAATAGCTGCGGGGAAATCGGGGGCGGGCGCAGTGGCATCAGTGCAGCAGGACGAAATGTTGCCGGGGCAGTCCGCAAAGTACAAAAAATTGACTTCAATTAAAGTGCCATAGTTGCCTGTATAAACAGCACACGGTAAAATGAAAAGCGCAAAACGAGAACCGAAAGGATAATGATAATTACGGCCAGCCATGAGGAGAGTGGGAGAGTTGGAGGATCTGGGAGAATAGGGGGCGAGGACTACGGTTCCAACTGCTGAATGAGACTGCAAAGTTTTTGTGTTTATTTTATGCTCGTGCAAAAAAAGGAGACCACAAAAAGACGATGAAAGTTTCAATGTAGTGCGGCTGATAAAGAGGAACAAAAAATAAGGAAAGCAGGCAGGAGGAAAGTGCATCCCAGTGGGTGGCTATAGAGCAGCTACATACGATTACGAGGACGTTAAACAAATAAGCAAAAGGCAATGTGTAAAACCGGCACAGGGAACACACAGAGGCAAATGAAGAAGCCAAATGTAGAGCGCGCATCATTGACACACACACAGTCGCACGCCTTTATGGGGAAGGACTCATTCAGGACACACGCCTAGGATCAAAATAATAGCATTGCAAGCCACAGAGGAGTTATTAGGCTTATTTAAAAATGTTAAAATGGGTCATAATAGTATCCCAACTTAATATAATGAAATATCTAATCTATATTACAACAATGCTAGAATTAAAGGAAATTTTGCAGCAATTGTTTTCTTAATGACTAACTATCCTTCTTTAACCATTTTTAGACGAGATATATGCATTTCTACAAATTTTTTATAATTTAAGAGGTATTACATTGACCTCAGCTATAAAAACGCCAGCCGTCAATAAAGAAATTAAAAGTCAAAACTTGGTTGGGCTTCTGTCGCTTTTTGCTGCCAATGCTACCGCTTCTGATTCGGAATCAGAATCTGCTAGTGATTCTGCTTCTGGTTCTTTGCTGTCCAAAATGAATGACTCGCCAGCGGGCCAAGTTCCCCGCTCTATCTTCCCTTCCTTCTTAACCCCATGGGGCAGTAGCGCCACCCCCCTGAAACCACCCAAAACCACCCACTGGGAAACTCAACTTGTTGAGGAGTGACAGACCCACTCACTCGCCCGCTTGTCCGCTCGTTCACCAACTCACTCACCGAATGAATGACTGACTGACTTTCCTACCCTCAAGGTTCATCGTCAGTCCGTCAGTCACTCAAACTCGCATTTCATTCCATTTCCATTTCATTCACTTTGCCTGCTGCCCAAAACAGCCATGTCTCGCCTTTCATTTCGCTGCTTCTTTTTGTTTCAGTGTAGTTTCCGTTGGTTGTAGTAAATTTTTCTCATTTCGCTTTTTGTTGGAGTGGTTTTTATACCCGGTATTCGTAGAAAGCAGGGGTATACTAGTTGTAAAGTGATGTAAGTGAGATAGAAATAACTTTTTGACATTTTAAGGAACTTAAAATTTTATTCATAATTGAATTTAAAATCAAAAGGCAAAAACGAATTTAGTATAAGGTATTATGTTACCCATGACTAAATTTTTTACTACTACTACTTTATTTGATTCAACAAGATCTATAAACATATTCATTATATTGAATAAATATTGAATTCTTTGAATGACAGGACCTTCGCCTTAAGATAGGCAAAAGTGTACTGGGTACCTCTCTGCCGACTAATCTCATTTCCTGTTTCTACTTCTATTTGCGTAGTTGCTGTTTTGAGTGTTCCACTGCTCGCGTGTGTATGTGTGTGTGAGTGCTTTGAGCACAGCAAATGAAGAAAAACCAACTCACACAAACCCTCCCATAGACAGAGTGAGAGAGGCATAGAATGAACTAGCGGTAAATGCATGAACAACGCCGGCTTGCCTGTCATGAAATTTGTATTTGTATCTCAGCGGCTGTTGCTGTTGCCCTCTTTTCCTCTCTCTCTCCCTTCAACACTCTCTCTTTGGCTCACCCCCGCCTTACCTCAGCTCACCGCACCGCTTCCACTTCTTCTTCTTCAACGCTCTGCGTCTCGTGCTCATTTTCCGTTGTATTTTTCGATGCAGTCGCCCCATGGACTTCATTCCCTCTGCGCACTTCGAACCGATCGCTCGTATCGCTCCCGTTACTCGACAACCGAAACCGAATTCGAATTCGAATCAAACTTAAAGAAGCCGAACCGAAACTCAACAATCGCGGGACTTCGATTCCGTTTCAAATTCCTTTTACGCGCTAATATATTAAACACTCTTAAAGGGCACATAAAGTTCTTGAAATTACGACTCTAGCGATTTGTGTGTTTGTGTTTAAAGAGCAAAGTGTAAACAATCGGGAAGAATTGTTCCCACAACTGACGAAAATGGGTCGCCTTTTCCAATACAACCGCTTTGGCGCCACGGATAACATCAACAAGAACATCAGCAAAAAGGATACCCAGCATAAGAACAAGATGGTAAGTTTTTAAGATCCTTTAAGATAGAAAGTTGAATATCCTTTATACGGACCTCTTGAGGGTAAATCCTTGAGTTCATAAGATAAGGGGCTCTCATATGATATAACCTTAAATTCAGTTACTCAATGTTATATTCGTACCCAAATCTCAATCCATCTCTGTATATATCCATGCCCTTGATGACTCAAGTTATTCTGGGCTTTGTAGATTCTAACAGTCTATGCACATTTCACACTCCCCACACATTATCCGAAATATCTATGTAGCCAACCCACGCGCACTTAACACTATCTACAGTGAACTCCCCACTAGGTCGAACAGCTGAGGGGCGAAAAAGCGGGGCATGGCCAAATTCAAAACACGAACGACAACAATTAAAATGATTTAGTGTCAGAGATAGCAGAGACAACAACAACAGACAACAACCACACAAAGAGCGCGCTGCATAATAAACTGAACTGTCGACGTAAATCAGTGGAACACTAAATCACATAGGGCCAAATAAATATGATTTGCATAAAAACTAAATCAAAAGTATATATGCAAACAGAGGGCGATAGTCGGGGAGCGAGCTAAGCTGAGCGTAAATCTGAATTCAAATAAATCAAATTGTAAATGCAGCCTGATTTCTGGCGATAAGTAGAGCAAACAAACGCCGGCCGAGTCGGGAATTGAAATCGAAACATATGTTGGGCCCATAAAGATAGTGATTGATTTTGACAAAATGCATTTCTTATATGCAAACAAAGCACATATGTTATTTGTTTTTGATTAGAGATAAGCACTAACTAGGCTCTATCGTCTAGCCGCGATGCCCGAAAGGTGATAGCTTAATTAAGACAAACTACCTTTGCCAGCTACCTGAAATGCCAAAGTCAACTTTCCTTAAGCCCTCAGCTACTTTGCTTTACTAATCCCCATATTTGACTTGGAATCCGTTGATGCTGCACATAAGATACAAAATGCAGAACAATGGCCTGACATCTGAGCGGCATTTATCAAAATATTTGTTTAAAAGAGCCACGACGAACAGTGGAAAAGTTTGTAATTTTAAACTGAATGACAGTTTGCGTTTGTGCCTCCGCCTTCTCTACTTTTATGCCGACCTTTGCATTTTCCATCCAGTCATTTTTCACTGGAATTGACACCCATCGCCTTCTGTATCTCGTGTCTCTTTGGATTCTTTTCTGTCTTGATCTATGAAAATCCATCTTCCTCTCCTTCTATTCAATTTTCGGTTGTAGGTGTAGATTGTAGGTGTTGGTTGTTTTGGCTCCCAAAAGGATTGTCTTTTGAAATTGGAAGTCTGGGTGTGGCCACAACGGGAGTTGTTTTACCAAGAAGACTACTACAAAGTCCTACAAAAGAGTTCTTCAAAAAAGAAAAGTTCTGCCTCTTATATATCCCTCAGATCTCCTGGGTATAAATCGCTTGACACCTCCCCAAAAGAAAAATCCCCCCCCGCTTCCGTTATCAAAATCTATTACCAGACACAGTCTGTTTACACAGCCAACTGGCTGTGCTGACAAACGATTTCAATTAGCCGGTTCGCAACAGATAAAAGGCATCACTCGTATCTCGCGGGTCAAAGATACAAAACGGAATCGTCACGAACTGCAGAACGTCGAGAGAGCAGAACTAATAAAATTGTCACACAACTGTTGGATCTGTCTGAAATGACCATATGCTGTTGGGCTGGTAGGGAAGGGGTCGGGACAGCAAGCATATTGCTAGATTAAAATCGGAGACAATTAAGACGGAAAAGATAGACTCGACGTTTATTAAAGTGAACTGGAGTTTATTCTGTCAAAGTGTTTATGGACAAGAGATTGCTCTTGGGATGAGCATTTGATTACATTTCATTAGGCAGGCACATTTTTAATTAATTAATCAAAGGGAAAACTTTTTTACAAACTCATTTAATATTCCGCTTGAAGTATAATCAGCATTTATCAGAGCAGTAATATGATCCAACTTCATCAAAGATAATTAAATTAGGCGCAAGGAATATCATAAATATTTAAATTATAAGAAACCAGTCATTTATCATACATTTAATAAGAAGACTTTTGATTAATTAAAAAGATATAAGTAGGCATCTAATATCTAAGACTAATGGTGCTTAAATAATTATCTATAAACTAACATCATTAGGGGAATTATTAAAATTTGTCCCACTTTTAAACTTTCTAATTAATATGAACATGCCAGCTCTCTGTTCATATCATGATTTCAGAACATAATCAAAAATCCAAAAATGAGTTTCCGCATAAACTTTGTTCAACAGACAATGGATTCGAGCGATTTGTGCTAGGGAAATCAGGCTGAAAGCATTTTCCTTCTCGTGTGGCTTATGATGCCATGCTCTGGTGCCTTCAACGCCCTGCCTAAGTGGATTTCTTCTTCGACTGCAGAGATCCCGTGATGGGCCTCATAATTCTCGATGAGATGCAGCTAAAATTAAATCAACTGCTGGCGACGATTAGCAGCAATGAGCTGAGGCATTTAAATTCTAAGGCATTTTAATGCACTTTTCTCCAACAACACTGCACTGGGATCTTTCTCCCTTTCAAGGCCAGTGATTAATGTCTATTTGGCTATTCGTGTTCTACACATGTATTTACATGCAGACTCTTTGATTTTTCGGGGGCCCCTAGAGGGCGAGGAAACTCTAAGGATAGAAAATTAATTGCACCGCTTTTAAGTGCATTTAATTAGGAATTTCCAAGCAGACGCCTTGTTCAGTAAGCTGAAGATTTATTGGGGAAAATGCAATCTGCAATCCACAATCTACAAACTGCAGGCTGCACAAATTGATGAGCATAATTAAATAGCCGGCGACTGACTGCAAGTATTCGACTTGCATGCATTGTAATTTATGCTCCATATTTTTGCCCAACTACCGAATGGCCCCGTCGCTTTGGGTAAACAACAATTTCACTTATTTTCATGCCGTCTGCCGCCTCGACCATCAACTGTCTGCATTGTTATTTTTACGCTCGACTCAATATAAATTTTCGCCCCTCTTCGTTTTGTTCGCCACATGCCACGCCATGAAAATGTAATGCAAATATGCAAAAAAGCTTTCAACGGGATCTAACCCTCTCCATTTTTCTACCTCTTCTCTTTTTTGTCTTATTTTGCCCCCATTCCCAACTAAACTCTTCTGACTACAAATAGTTTTTGGTTTTGGCTTAGTCTGGCCATCAACCGGGAACGTAGAACGTAGAACCTAGCCAACATCATCGTTATCACCAGCCCATGTTGTCCGTGTTTGAGTTTCATATGGCTTCCCACCAAGGATTTGTGTGCATTAGACGACGACTAGACTCGGGAAAAAACTATTTGCAAGCCCAGTTACTAGACTTTCCACACACACACACACACACACAAGCTGATGTACTGGAGTTGTTAGAGAAAAAGTTGTCAGAGTCTCTAATTAAATTGTTCGCCATCTCTCAAAGTGATAAATTCCAAAAGTTCATTGCCTGCTCTTCAAAAAATCGAGGGAAAGATAAATACTTGAGATTCATCTCTGGAACAGCCCACGTATCAAAAGAAGAAACCCCAAAGAGATATGCCCATAAAATGCAATTAAAATTTCAACAATTTTCATTTGCATTTAATAAACCCATCAAAATGGTTTTTTAAACACTCATAAAACAGACGCCTGGAAACGAACAACTCAATTCGTTTTACATTTCAATAATTTTTTATATGACCCAATTTTTTACACCTATAAAAATGCCACAGAAAGCCACACGAAAAAAGCAACAACAAAAAGACAATGGGAGACCATAAAAAAGCCAATGCCACACGCCACATGTGTCTAAACAAAGGATTTACCAGCCAAAGGCAAAGCTAATTGTAATAAAAAGAATATCTACAAAACATACCAAAAAGCTGAAACTATAAACATTTTTCCTGGCATATAAAACTAAATTAGTGAGAAAATCATTTTACGAGCCCCGAAAACGAACTCGTTTAACCAACTAAAAGAAAAACTGACTGAAAAACCGTATTTTTTTGATGAAGGGAGAAGGGGGGCGGGAGAAATGTGTGCGGGACGTGTTTTAAAAAATGTCATAAACTACTCGTAAGTCCATGTATCTCTGACATTTTGAAAGCCCCGACACGTGTGTCCGTGCTGGGATCACTTTGAGTTTCTTTTGCTGTGGCATAAAACTGTCAAATTAGCTGGAACTAAAAGCGAGATGCCTACAAAATATTCAAAAGCGCTCGACTAATGGCCCGGAGCCAAATGAAATATTACTAATTTCGATACGAAAATGTCCAAAGGAATTTTTAGAACAGAAACTTTTTTGGGAGTGGGTGGTAAATAATAGAGGGTGGCATAAAAAAGACAAAGGAAGTCTTGTTTTGGCAGCACAGCTGCTTTGGCAATTGGCCAATTTGCGAGCGGATAAGTAGCCAGTTAGTTTGATATTGCGGTTGCAATTTAAAAGCCACCAGTAAGCACTTACCAAGGTGGAAAGTTGTGGGTTGGCCGAGTGAATGTGTGTGTGTGGGGTGGTTTTGTTTTTCAAGACCCTTCAGCAGCTGCTTGATTTTCCAGAGCTGGCTCAAAAATTCAGGCATATGTCGGCTGGGACCTCAAGTGGTGTACAAAGGAAACATTTCAATAAATTCATCGACTCACTCCGGGCACTTCAACTAATTTCTCCCCCTCTCCCCATTCCCCTTCTAAATGCACAATAAATGAAAATTTAACAACTGTTTTTATAAGGCCAAAAGGAGGAGAAGGTAGAAGGGAGAAGGCCAAAGGGTCTACACCTACCTTCCTTCTTGTCTGTCAGCTGTCGAAGGTGCCTCGATTCGGTTACCTGAGTTTTTATTGTAACACATTTTGATTACGAAAATATGCTAACACCTCGCTGGCCAAACAAAAGAGCTCTTTGGCCAAGAATGGAAAACCCGGCCCGGGGGCGCTGTTTCATCATCAATTAGAGCTCAACCTTTCCGCAGGGCAGGATCGGAATATATAAACCAATTGGGATGGGGATAGACCTATGATTATTGCATTAGCACGAACACCATCAAAAGAATAGGGCCAACACGCCAACACCTTTGGGCCACTACTGTATGCTGGATTTTATTTCGTTCCCAATTTTCTTCTTGGGCTCTATTATCATTGAAATTACTGTTGTGTTCCTTTTCTTTGGCCTGACTTTGAGCTGGGCTTGCATAAATTAAAACTCATGTAACTGGCAAGAATCGTAGCCATTAAATGCTTGTTGCTTGGCCCATTGTGTTTGATTTAAGCCGATAAAAGGTACACTTTTGAGGCATTTCACGCCGCTTTTCCCCCCAGCCGAAAAATCAAATACTTTCAACAGATTTATGCGCTGCGTGGCCACATCAAAGAAAACTCTTTTGGCCATGGCTCGTTGGCCACGAATTAATGACCAACTGGCCAAGATGTAGCAACAACTTTTCGGAGCCTCCACCATGTTTGCTCACAAATAAACAAGATTCCCAATTCGAAATGCAAATCGTTGGGGATGGCCTGCAACGGAAGTTCTGCGTCTGCACTTCCTTTGTTTGCCTTTCCAAACCTCTAATTTATTGAATGTGTTGAATTATAAAGCCCCCCATCCTGTCCCGCCACTGGCAATCGAATTCAATTTTGTAATCCCACGGCGAGTAGTACCTGGTCTTCAGATTTCCTTTGTGGCCAGTACTCCTCTTCAATCGATTGCTCATTATTTTGCCATTTTTCCATCGAGTATGTGTGCGTGCTGAAGGGTGCCATGAATTTACGGATCACAATGCACAATACCGAGGGGTGTATGTGCACCATGGTAAGTGCAGTAGTCAGAAATACGGGGAAGATGCGGAACTCGAAGCAGGAGGTTGCATCCCAGTCTATATCCATTGGTTCAAGCCATTGCTCCCAATACGAGCAGTTTAGATTGTTCACGTTCTCCATTTTGTCTTTGTTCGGTTTGAAAATATATTTCTATTGATATTTTAAGCCCTCAGCTACTAAGTTTAAAGCATAAACCCTTCTCCATTAAGCAAACACCTAGCAGAGTGTTAAATTGTGCCACCTCAAAAAGTGAGAATTATTTAAATATTTTTAAAGTAAAAGTAGGTGTTGAATAAAAAACAAACCCACTGGCAACCCTCGACAGGAGCTGCATATGAATATTTTATAAGCGAAATGAAAGGCAAATACGAGCAGGGAAAACAACGGACTGGCAAATTGTACAACAATGAACAAGTAGAGCAAGCGCATTACAAGGATATCACAGCAGCAGTGACCCAAAAGCATTAGCAGAAGCAGTCCTGGTCGTTGGGTTTTTAGAAGGGAACTGTAATAGGAATGGGAATGGGAATGGGAATGGGAATGGGATTGGCCTAACAAAGGCGAAAGCAGAACAAAGCCAGGATAATGGGATGACAGTGTGTATGTGTGTGTGTGTGCTATCTTCGTGGCTGTTGCATAAGAAGGTCCTTCGAGTGAAATGGTAAACCCCGAGGTAGATAAGATTTATAGGGACACTCCATGACACTTTCTACAAATTTTCTGACCAAAACTAACAAAAAAAACCATCTTATTTTTGTTCATCCGACAGCTACGCAATGCCATCAAATGTCCTGGTTACTCGGACATCTATGGTCACTACAATACGGAGTCGGCATTCGAGAAATGCGAACAATGGAGCAACAAGCTGCAATTTCCAAATGCCGGAGATATGGATAAACAAGAGCCGATCCAGAGTCGCACTCACAAGGTCTACGACAGCATGAAGAATTTTCTGCACCGCAAACTCTTTGCCCAACCCTCGCAAAAGGAACAGATCTTGAACGAAGAACCCACCAGCGACTATGATGAGGTGTGTATGATATACGATAAGAAAATATCAAGAATTACATTTAACCCAAAATTAAGAATGTGAACTGGAACGCCTTTTTGATAATGGGGTTATGGTAATGACTATTTTGATATGTGGAACCATTTTGGGTTAAATATTGTGGTTAAACCCAAAAAGGTTTCTATAAGTGGCACCATGACTTTAAGAACCCTTTCTTTTTTGAATGGTAATTTAATTGGTTTTTCTCCTTTCTTTTTTAGCAGGACCTTCTCGACTCCTCGTACCATGCCGACGCGGAAGAAGAGGAGGAGGAACGCGATGCGGATTGCAGCTGCAGCTCCACCAGCAGTAGCACCACCAGCAGCAACCCAACCTCGCCCAAACGCTCGCCCCAGAAGTCTCTATTGTCCCTCAACTGCTGGCAGAGCAGTCAGCCGAGCAGTGACTCCAATCCTGAAGAGGAGGAGGAGGAAGATGCTGAGGAAGACTCCGATGCCGGGATCTCCGATTGCTGTCAACTGTTAGCTGAGAATTCACCCAATTCCATTAGCAAACGCCGAAGAGGAGCTCCTCTGTTTACCAGATACATCAGCGCCAACCAAAACTCCGATGATGATGATGATGAAGAACCAGAGCTGCTGGCGTGTCCTTGGTATCAGCCAAGGATCACGGCAAAGGCAGCAATGGAGCACCTGCAGCAGGCCACACCTGGAAGTTTTCTTCTGCGGCGCAGTACTCCACGACATTTCGAACTGGTCCTGCGACTGGAGAGGAGCAAAAAAGTCAAGACCTATCCCGTGCAGTCCACCAGGAATCAGATGTACCGCCTGAAGGGTGCCAAGAAGCAGTTCACCAGCCTGAAAGCCCTGATCACGCACCATTCCGTGATGTCCGAACAACTGCCATTGCCATTGGATATGCCCAGGGAGCGTCATGTGGCGAAACCTTCATCAGTGCGCTATGCAGATGACTTCGAGCCGTTGGAGTCCCTGCAGCTACTCGGCATCCTGAAGAGTCTGCAGGCCAAAAGCATCGAGATATAGAAAATAATCACTAAGCGGGGTTTCATGGGGCGGGACAAATAATATCGAACTGCAAAGGGAACGATAGGTGAAAGTAATTAAGGAAATTTGTTTGTTCTATGGTTAAGTACATGTGATATAGTTTACGGACCTTGCTGGCTGAGCAACCCTCGAATTTAGTTAAGACTACCAACTAATTGAAATATTTTGTATCCGATAAGTATGGGCTAAGTTTTCTATTGTGAAAGTGAAATATGAATAAAAATCAAACAATGGCATTCAGCAAAAACGCACAACCCTCGAGAGTTTAATGTGTCCACGCCCAGGCAATCGATGCGTTTCCTGTTTTGCCCCCCTCAACCTCGACCACGACCACCACACCGACCCTCAGGAAACCTCTTTGGAGGGTTGGCCAGAGGAACGATTCACTTACATGTGATTAGCGATTCGAGTGGCTCTCATTAATTTTTCAAGTGCGGCTCGTGGAGCTCTCCACGCAATTCGTTTGGCAACATGTTGCTAGCAACATTTTGGTGGCATGAATAATTACAGCGGCTATATTAGTTACAACATTCAAGGGGGTTTCTCGTTTGCACTGTCAAGTTGTGCAGTCGCACGCAACTGAATAAGTTATAGCTTTTTTCAGGTGAAATACCAGATTTTTTCCATGCTATTTTTTCCACTTGGAAAAGCATTTGAAATAAAGATGGAAATTTTTTGTTGTAAAAGAAAATGATACAACATCCAAGCGGAAAAATCTATTAAAGTATCATAGACCTTTATAATCAGATTAAGGATTTCTTGATTTTACAACTTTTGTTTTAAGAAAATAAGGTTACTCTAAGGGATTTTCCAATATGTTGACAACTATTTTACACATTTTTCTACATGAAAAGTTCTTTTTCTACATATATTTTTACATACGTTGTTTTCTTATGAGCGCATAAGAGTATGCAATCTTTTTATAAAGCCAGAAAAACCTGCAGGTCAGGGCTCTGACATAAATTTGACAAAATTTTTAAATTTTGATTCGAGCTGTAGATAAAACTATTAGTCTTAAGTAACAAAGCAAATTTTAAAATTATAAAAGTATTAGATAAAGTTGCCACTTGGTAGCCACTGCAGTGCACTGCTCATCATGACAATAAACTTCTTTTAAGTAAAATGAAATGTAATCCCAAAAGCAGGCAATAAAACAGAAAAATAAGGATAATCTGAAAAGACAAAAATGCGGTTTAATTCATAATTATCAAGGGCTTAATAAAAATATTAAAGAACATTCCCAATAATCCCCAAACGTCAGCAATTTCACTAAATCATTTTCAGTTTAGCCAGTGCACTGGCAGTGTGTGAAATACGACCTTTTTACGGCCTATGATTGATATTGGATAATATTTGCTTTCGCCAAATAAAGGCCATAATTCAGAGAGGTCAACAATTGGCAGGCAAGTGCATAAAATATTTAAATATAAACTACAAATATTCGCACTGACAGCAGCTGGACAAAGGCCGGACGGACTTTAACCCCAGAGGCCGTATAAACAAAAGGCCATTAACAATAACGAGACCCTGGGAAAGAAAAAACATTGGCAAACAAATTATAAATAAATGGAAATGCTGACAGCATTAATAACGTTACATCATTAATAAGCGAATCGAAATGAATACAATAACTGAAAATGGAAAATGTAATAATTATGACAATAAATTAAGTGAACGTGGTCTGGTCCTGGCTTTCTTTTAGTTTTATTTATTTATTTATTTATTTAACTGGCGCCAGTGCTTTACGATTTAAATCGAAGTCACCCAATCATTAATTGCCTGCCAATCAGACTGACCGCAAAATGGGAAAATTTTCAATGAAATTGTCTTCGAAATTGCCAGAGCAAACAGTAGTGGTTATTCCACTGACAACTGGATTAATGGAAAAGGATAATCTGAGGGTCTGGGATGGGCAATATGTATCTCAGTTGGCAGTTTTTGATTCAAATTTAAATCTACGAAGAACTCTTCCAAAGAAACCTTCTGATTCTCGAGTATCCTCAACCTAATGGAATTCGAATTGAAATTCATAAAAAGGGAAGCCGGAAGTGTATGTCCAGGCATTCCGGTATGTGGGAATAAACATTCAGCATTTTCGCTAATGAAGTGCTTTCATCTGCTATGTATGCTTGGCTTCTTTTCGTGTCCCTTTCACTTGAACTGTTTGCATAATTTTTGCACGAGTTTGTTTAGCTTTTCAATGCTGACAGCTGAAAAGGCAACCAAAACCGAGAGTGTCGTCCTGTAAATTTCATTTTCATTTCTGTATGCCTCACTAATTACGAAACGGTTGCAATAATTCCAGAGAAAGCAAGCCAAAATGCTCCCTTGGGAAAAAGTAAACACAAACAAAGGGTCATGCAAATGGTAAATTAATTAAATGGAAATTAGAAAGTGGTCGATTTATGAAATTAAAATGTTAAATGTTCTACTCTTTCCTAAGCCCACTTTTTATTAAGTGTTAATGTTTTTTGACAACACAGAATTATTGGCTATTAATAAAATTGCAATTAATTATTGCCATAAAACCTGATTAAAAGAAATATAAATCTGCGGAATGCTATTAAAATATTAACAAACCCGAAATGAGATTACCTGAATGGTTAAAGCTTCATTCAAATATATAGTTTATGTAGAAGTTATTGACAGATTTCCATTCTAAAATCACATTTCCTAGTCCCTAATATTTATGGAAATACCAATTATGGCTTGTTTATCAAACAAGACCAATAATTATTTCTTTGATACCTGCAATTTGATTATAGCTCGGGGTCTCTCATTAGGCAACGATTCATTTTCACTATATCCTTCTGTCTACTCACCTCACACCAGCCAGATTATAACCTGAACCATCCCACCACTGCTAATTACAAAAACAGTTCGTCTATTTGAATACCCCAACCAAGTCCCGGATCTCCATGTTCTGGGAAAATCAATAACTGACGACGAGTGCATCCATGAATGGTCAATCATTCAGGAGAGATTCTGGCTACCATTCATTCATCCGCATTACCAAAGGAGCTGAAACAGGAGCAACAGGAAAATCAGTGGGAGCAGGACCCCCAGCGATGAATGGTATTTGCCATGATGTTGCCAGGATTATCTTCTGTTTATATGGGATTTATTTGCCAGCAAGGAAAGATGTATGGGGGGAAAAGGAAATGCAGGAGCAGGAGCAGTAGCATGTGTTGCCATGACGGCCGCCGTTGCCTTTGTGAGCCTTTTGTTCCTGCGGATGCTGCCAGTCTGGCATTGCATAAATGTTTTGCCTTTTAATTAGCACGCATTTCACATTCGACATTTCAGCAGTGGCCCCTACGTTTGCCTCTTAATGCGCTTAAAGCAGATCCAGCAGCTTCGACGATAATGATGGAAAATACTGGCCAGCTGAGGAGAAAATTCAATCAGCCACAGCTTCGAACTTCCAGTCGAGTAATGCAATCCGAAGAAGGCAAGACGAAAGCAATGCACAGGGAATTTCTTTTTGGAATCTGTAAAATATGGAAATCAAATACTAAATTTATAACTTTCTTTTGTCTTAGGGTAATATTTCTCTTGATAACCTAGCTTTAATATTTAATGATTTATAATAATATATATTATATAAAAAATTTTATTTAAAGTGCACACAGCACTAGCCTGCAGCAGTATGGCGGAAATTATGTGCCACTCGAGTGTCCAACGAGCCGTGACCCGAGTATGATGTAAGTCTGAGAAAGAAGTGAAGGAAAAAAAAAATTGTGTCAGGAGGGGCACGCACAAGGATAACGGAGCTACCGCCCTGACTGACTGCCCGACTTATCCCTTAGCCATATCCTACGTGATCCTGCGACAACAGCAGCGCCAGAAAGTATGCAACAAGCAGTGCAAAGTGCACTCAATTGTTTAGCTGCCCCTGGGTTGTAAAGGGATATGGCAGAAGGGGGTGTGGCAGATTCCTTTGTGGCACACAATCTATATAAAACAGAAAATCAGTTGGCACTCGGCCAAGTGCATATTAAAACCAGTCAACACTCTGAGGTTGGCTAAACTCACTTTAAAGAAGCAAAATCAGATTTTAAAGGAATTTCCTTTCCTAGAATTTATTTCCTGTAATTGCACACTTTATCTTAAGTAAATATTGACTTTTAAGTAGTTGTTTCTCGTATCACATTAATTATCCTTTCCTCGCTCTATCCCGCAAAACAAACAAAGAAAATTAAAGAGATAATTGACCTAAATTGTAGGAAATTGTTTTAGATTGCTTTTGGAAATTTGTTGTTACAACCCTTCTGGGTTTTCTTTAATTTAATCTCTTAGTTTATGCCAGCATATAAGAATAAAACCCTTAATCTGTAGCTTTTCTGTTTCCTAGTTTGAATTTTGCAAAATGTATTCACTATAGACACCGCTTTTCCTTTATGAAAATATTAATCTAATTTCTCCCTTTTGATCCTTTGGTCGTTAAAGCTGTAAATGCTTTCAGGCATTTCTAAAGACTTTCCCAAAATTAATTAATAATAATTCCACCCTTAGATGGCGGCCAAAACTGTAATCATATACCGATAATGAGGCTTTCACGATTTGCATCCCTAAATCAAACTGATTGTCCGTTTCCTGTTGCTGAAAGTCAAAAGGAATAAATCAAAATCCCCATATGCTGCCTGCGCTCTAAACTTTTATCTTTTAATTTTGTTAATTAATCGATATGTTGGCTCCTTCCAGCGCTTTTGTCCCCCGTGGCCAGGCAAACAATTAGAGGAAAAGGAACATCTAGTGGAAAGAGCGAAAAAGGCAACAGTCTGTGTCCCTTACAGTAACAATAACACATGGCATTGACTCCTCACTACCACCCCCTTTGGTTGCTCACATGATTTACAGTCTCAAAACCCGGCGGCAAAAGTTAAGAAATGAAATTTCAAGAAAATTGCACAAACAACAGGAAGCTGGCAAAAGGCATGCGGAATGGAGGGCTTCGAGGGCATTGAGCCAAAAGGAAATATTGTAAAACTCTGGCTATAAAGCAAATACACGATACATATCATCCCGTGGGTAGTGGGTGGTTTGGGGGGTTGGGGCTAGCCAAAAATGTGAGCAGCACAAAAGTCGTTATCTTAATTACTTTTATAGCTTCGATTTGGGGCGAGTGGAGCAGTGGCAGCAACGCCGCCAAAAACGAAAAACAACAACAGAGACATGACAACTGAAAAGGAACAAGTTTGGGAGAGAACGTGGAAATCAAGGATACCCTAGAAGCTGTCATGGAAAGCAG